TTACACCAAATACACAAAATAATGTTCTTTTTAGCAACATCATATCACCCCTTTAAAGAAAAAATGTAAATGTTAGACTAGTATATTATATATATATATATACACACACACACACACACACACACACCTATTAAATATCTAATGAGTAAACATCTAAAACTATGAAAACTGAAATACTGAAATAAAACAAAATATAAATATTAGATGAAAAACTCAAACTTAAAGAAAAATAAACTAGAATAAAATGAGTTGAACTAAAGATGAAATAGTAAATGAAAGATAAATTACAAAAGCACATCAAATTACTAAAACAAAACAAAATTAAAATGAAAACAGAACGTATAAAAATAAAAGCTACTCAAAATATCAATAACTTACTACAGGTGAAATTTTGACAATAACACCCTTACTGTATGTACAGCACACAACTATTTTTTATTAAAAACTAATTCACCAAAAGTTTTTTTTTTTCATGTTCTAAAGGTTGTAGTACTCTCCTAGTGGCCTTGGATTCTATTGCAGATTATTTATTCATATTCATATTCATATTTATGTATGTATGTATGTATGTATGTGTGTGTGCGTGTTTTTTTTTCAAGCATACATTTTTGTCTCAGATTTTTGAACCCCCGTGGTATAAAAAAAAAAAAATCAAAATTCAAATGTAGACCTAAATATTTTGTAGTTCTTACTCACTCTGGTGTACTTGTTGAAACTTTGCAGTATGTCCCAGCCCCAGTCCCTGTATTTGCTGTCCTTGGTGAATCTGTACATGTAGAACAGACTCTCAACGGTCTCCGGTCTCAGTAAGTTGTGTCTGTCTGCAGGCTGCACACACATATTGAAAGAGAAAAATATCTGTTCATGTAAAAGGGCATCAACTTTTTTTTTTTAAAGTCATCCTCATCAGTGCTGAGCGCAGAAATGCTGTTCTTCAGAACAGATACTAGAAAAGATAAACACAAAGGCCTTGATTAGACAGTCTGAACACAGTTTCTGCACTATTTGGGGGCTTATTACCATTTTATTTCTGGACGAAGGAAAGAAAATGAATGATGGCTCCATTCCAAAGCCTGCATCAGCAGTTTAAGGCCATGGCTCCAACCGTTCAGGGAGTTTATTGTCAGAAATGAGTGGTGACTGTACAGGTTAGTGTACCTTCACATCGATGTCCCGTCCGTTGTTGGACTGAAGGTTAAAGTGAGCGATCTCTGGGCTCAGGCCCGTCTCCATCTGTGCATACATCTGATGACACGTCTCCATCAACTGCAGAGCCAGGTCCATGTGATCAGCAGGCAGACCGTTGTGAGCACCGAGAGCCAGTGTGCCAGGAAGAAAACACACCAAATGATCCTGAATCAGACAGAGATGGAGAAAGAGTTTAACCCTGTAAATACTATTGTATCATATCTGTTACAAAAAAATATAAGTCTGATAATTATCAACCTGATCAAAACTTTGCTGAGAAACCTGATGTACACAATCTTCTACATAACTTCAGTTGTGTGTTTCATAGTACTATTACTGCTTGTAGTATAATTACATGTAAAAAAAAATAAAAAAAAAGTGTACTGTGCTAGACTAACTGAGACTTGTCACAGCACTTGTATAGTGTTGCTCTCTTTTTGGTCTGATTGCTTTTATTATTCTCCTCATTGTAAGTTGCTTTGGATAAAAGCATCTGCTAAATGATTAAATGTAAATGTTCAAGATAAACACATACTGGACTGAAGCAACTTTTTCTTGATTACCCATACATAATGTTTTAGAAAAATCATGTAAAAATGTGAGTTTCAAATATGACATCAGGCTTTTTGAGAAATGTTTATTTGTATATCTCTCACTTATCCTTGTACTGCATTACATAGCATTATATGCACAATTAAAACTAAAGAGCTTTGATGATAAAACTAAGAATTAAATATCTTACTAAGACTTTGATTATTGGTAGACAGAGTGACAAATTATATTTATATGTATTTTACTCTATGTAAATTGTCTGCAATACTATTATAAAGATCTTATTGTTTTACATTACAAGTTATCAGAATTTTATCTTACTTTTTGACCATATAAATATTAGCAACTACACCAAATTGCATACTTGTGCTCAATTTGGGTCTCTGAATAAAAAGCGTGTTTTTTTCCTCCTTGAGGATGAGCTCCATATTTTATTATATTATACTATATGAGTCATAAAAACCAGGGCCCGTATTCACAAAACATCTTAAGGCTAAAAGTAGCTCATAACTCGCTGATTTAGGAGAAAATCTTAAAAATAATGAGCGTGTCATTCCTAAATTTAGGACTTTCACAGGAGTATTTCACAAAGCGTTTTAGCACTAAAACTAACTCCTAAATCTGTGAAACGTTAGGAGTAGTGAAGAGGACTCCTAAGTCACCAAGACCAAGCCATCAGAACGATGGCAATCTGTCTCAGAACGTAAACATTTTAGAAACATTTGACGATAATGAGATTTTAAAAAGGTATATCAATAAAAAGGTATATACAATTTTCCTTTGATTAGCCTACATCCTTGTTTTCATTAATCAGTTGGGCAAGAAGTAACAGCTCTTCTTGTGTCCAGTTTGGTTTTCTTTTACATTTGCATGTCTTACTATCAGCCATGATTATTCCACTCTGTTAATTAAAAGGCTGTTTATATGCATATCCACTAATTGTTTACAAGAAGCATACATGTAAGAGGCTGACAATTAGCGGAACATATACTTGTTTAATTAGTGACACTTAGCCTGCATTTTAAAAATATTTATTTGAATGTGGCAATTAACATTTTTATTTTTAAACTTTTATTTGAATATGGCAACATAAAATCGTGCTCTAACAGAGACAGAGACATAGAAATAAATCTCTGACAGAGACTATCAGCCAATCACTGCATGCATAGTTAGTAAGCATACCGACATCATCCATAGCAACGAGGTCAACCCCACCCTTACTCTTAGCTTAAGACTTCTCTCTATTCCTTAGTAAAAGTTTGTCTCAGCAGCTTTGTGAATAGGATTTAAGAGAAAACTCTTAGCTAAAAACTGCTATTTAGGAGAACTCTTAGTGGTAAGATAAAATGTTTTGTGAATACGGGCCCTGGGCTTTATTCATGGAAATATTGTAGAGCACAAATAAATAAAGGTTTAAAAATAAAAATGTTAATTGCCACATTCAAATAAAGATTTTAAGATGCAGGCTAAGTGTCACTAATTAAACTAATTAACTAACTAACTAATTAAACACATGTATATGTTCAGCTAATTGTCGGCCTCTTACATATGTGCTTCTCAAAAACAATTAGTGGATATGCATATAAACAGCCTTTTAATTAACAGAGTAGAATAATCATGGCTGATAGTAATACATGCAAATGTAAAAAAACAAACTGGATGCAAGAACAGCTGTTACTTCTTGCCCAACTGGTTAATGAAAAAAAAGGATATAATCAAAGAAAACTTTTGAGTTCGGATAACCTCCAAAACCAAAGGTGATACCTTTTTAAAAGGTCATTATCATCAAATGTTTCTAAAATGTTTACATTCAGAAGCAGATTGCCGGTGTTCTGACGATTTGTGCTACCCTGTCAGATTCTGCAACCTCCCATTAAAACAGATGGTAGCATAATTCGATAGCAAAAAGTGCTACCTATCAGATTTTGCTTCCAGCATGATATTAATAAGGTGTGAGGCTTTATTAACATGTACACCTACCCCAACCCTAAACCTACCCTTACAGTAGGATAAATACAGTGTTGATAGCATAATCTGATAGGGAGCATTATTTGTCAGAACACCGGCAACAGCCATTTTAGGAATAGTTTGTGGCTTGGTCTTAAGTGACTTAGGAGTCCTCTTCACTACTCCTAACATTTCACAGATTTAGGAGCTAGTTTTAGTGCAAAAAAGCTTTCGAGCAAAATTTAGGAGTCCTAAATTTAGGATTGACACGGCCATTATTTTTAAGATTTTCTCCTAAATCGGCGAGTTATAAGCTACTTTTAGTCTTAAGATGTTTTGTGAACACGGGCCCTGATGTATCAAATATGATTCACAGTTTTTTTTATTTTTTTTATTTGTAATAAGATTTAATCCTGGAGATTATAGGATCAGATGCTGTGCTGCGTGGTATAGATTAAAGCTATTTATAGTGTAACCACATAAGGAAAAAAAAATCAACCAAAAATGAAAACTCTGTCATTATGTACTGTTTTTCCAAATCCGTATGCTGTCATTTTTCCAAGTGGAATATTAAAGTAGAATTTTTTGCCATTTCCAAGTTTGTGTTCCATGGTACAAAAAACAGCATACAAGTTTGGAACAACATGAAAGCGAGCAAATAACAACAGAATTTTAATTTTTTCAGTGAACAATTCATTAAGAACGACACTTGGCAGCAGAAATGTGGTGAAGTTATGACTCACCATTTTGGGATTGAGATGGCCATTGGACAGCTCCCCAACGAAGGTCAGTTTGCTAGGAGAAGTCTGTCTCAAGAGATTCTTTTTGACACCTTCTATAGCCTGAAGATAGTCCTCTAGCAGCCTGGAAAGATATAGATGCATCACACTCTGCATTTGAAGTGATTAAGTTTGCCCTCTAGAGGCAAAATGAGCTACTGCATTTTAATTGTACATTGGGAGCACCCCAGACTTCAGTTGATACTCAAAAGTGCAATACATAAAATCCATATAGAAAGTAAGAGCTGCGATTCAACCCCATTAAGGTCTTAGTGAGATTACACAGACAGGAATCAGGATACAGAGGTCATTTAAATGAACCACCTTACACATCAATGACTAGCATATCCATCACTGACCTGGTCTTGGGTTGATTTGATATTCCTGACCAGAGACAGTTATCAAACCTCATTAAGAGTCAGTGTCTACTGAACCCCAGTGAACACCTTTTTATTTAATTATTCAAAACTGAACCCTATGAAAAAAATACTATCAGCGAGGAGCGAGTGTATGTGATGTCAACACAGCGGGAGTCCAACGAGACTCAGGTGTGAGCAGAAGCACTGACGTGAATGACAATGACTCGTCAAGCTCCGGCAGAAAGAACAGGAAGACAGAATAACATCCTGTCAAATGCAGAAAACGGTTGATGTCGCATTTCGCCAGGAGTGAAGGCACCTTGGCACCGTCCCTAATGGTGGACGTGCAAAACGTGCCTGTGACAGTTGTTGTTATAATGCTGCTGTCTTGCAGGGGCTTTTTCACTCATTTACTGTCAGTTAGACAACACAACTTAAAGGGATAGTTCACCCAAAAATGAAAATTCTGTCATCATTTACTCACCCTCATGTCGTTCCAAACCTGTATGAGTTTCTTTCTTATGTTGAACACAAAATAAGATATTTTGAAGATTGCTGGTAATCAAACAGTTGATGGTTGCCATTGACTTCCATAGTATTTTTTTTTCCACTATGGAAGTCAATGGCAATCTTTATTTGACCCTCTAACTCTAACACTTTCTATTCTATTTTAATTCTACTTTATCTATATTTATCTTTTTTTATTCTTTATTTAAAAAAAAAAACTAGCTTTCTATTTTTTCTATTCTATCTACTTGTTTTTCTTTGTGTGTTTGTAAGTCGCTTTGGATAAAAGCGTCTGCCTAAATGCTAAATGTAAATTTAAATGTAAGTTCAACTGGTTAGAAAAGTAATAGCACACCTCACCTCAAAAAAGAAAAAAAAAAGAAAAAAGGAATATAAAACAAAAAATAAAATCAATCATTTTAAATGCTACAAGTGATTTTAGGCAGCATAATATTATAATGAATAGTATAAAAATAGTATAAAATTCTAAAAGTATAATGGCATAAAAAATGAATAAGATTGCATTGTTATTAAATTATTTGCAAGCATTAAATGGCAAAGGTAATCTAAATGTAATAATAGAGAAAATAAGCATACAGAAGTAAATATCCAATATTGTCCAATAGATTTCCAATATCAACTTATATTGATCAGTATAATGCATAAGTATATATATATATATATATATATATATATATATATATATATATATATATATATATATATATATATATATATATATATATATATATATATATATATATATATATATATATATATATATATATATATATATATATATATAATTTTCTCCCTTTTTTTAAATTATGAGTGAGTAATTTCCTTTTGAGTGTTAGATTAAAGCAGGCAAATTAAATGTAAAATAAAGGAAAGAAACATTCAATTAAATATCGACTGACCGTAATAAATAAATACAATTAAATAAATAAAAAAATTAATTAATTACAATTAAATACATAAAATGCATACTACTGTGCATCCCTACTAAATAAGTACGAGTAATAGTGATGCTGGAAATCCAGTTAAAAATATTGCATTAGTATACCAGTTTACTATTTTTCTTTTTTATATTAAAATACGTTGAGCAACACTGGACCAACAGTGAATTCGGGATTGGACTATCGGTTTGATTGTCCAATGGCTGTTCAGAAAGCCTGTTTTAAAAACGAGCATTGTTTTCGTGACTGCTTGATGTTCCTAGATGTGCACAAATTACACACTTCACCTTTATTCTAATTCACAAGAGGTTTTTAAGTGCTAGAATGCAGACGCTGACATTCAAACAGAAGCACCTGCACTTGAAATACAAAATATAATTTAAGACCTCTTAAAACAAATTCCACCAAGAAATGACTAAGACATCAGAATAAAATAATCCAATAGTGAATGCACTGAAGTCACCTCCAGGTTTCCTATGCCCTGTACATTTATCACCGTCAAGGCTAAGTAGCATGTCTACGGTTTTCAAAAAGCAGTCCTTATGTAATGATTAAAACGTGCTCAGAGTCTTTTTATTTCCTTTTCTGGTGCAATTCACCCTTTCAGTGACTGACAATGTGAATCAATCATATTAGCCCATCTGTGACCAGAATCATAACCTCAGTACATTAGGTTCAGTGTGCATCGCCAATTCCCTGGAACCCATTAGCTAAAAGCACCAGTGGGCTATTGACACTCGGTCTAAGCACTGAAAGCCAAAGCTGCATTTGTATCTGCTGTTAACTCACTCAGTCTCTTTCTTGCCACCCTGTAGCCACTGTTTGAGCAGGTACTCGTAGTAGCTGTCCGCACGGGCCCCCAGCGTAAAGGCCCCTCGACGTGTGAATTTCCCACTGTTTGTGTTGATGAACATGGGTACCAGACCGTCATGCTTTCCCTCCAATCGGTGAACCTGTCTGGTCACCTCCTCCACTGCATTCTAAAAACAGAGGGCGAAAAATAAAATAAAATCAATACAGACAATACAATTACATACATTTAAATAAAAAGGTAAAATAATAATAATAAAAAAAAATGTAAAAAATTAAAAAGATACCTAGACATAAAGTACCTGGTACTGTGGGTCCTGTGTGAGTCGGCTGAGCTCTCTGAACTCCAGCTGAATGCTGGTCACCTCTGCGACTGTGCTGTCTGTGGTCCATCGTGGAGGGTGAGCGGTTCCTTTACCAATGTTCACGTCAGAGTAGGGGATTTTAGATGGGGTTTTGAATGCAGGCATTAATCTGAACCCAATGTCTTTCTGCAAGAAAAGAGACACAACATGTATTGAGTTCTGTGGTCCGTTGAAATAAACCTTTAAAAGCTATACTTTACATTTACAAGGACAAAAATGAATGATATTGGAGATGCTACTAAGATATGAAGTACTTACAGCTTTATCCAGGAAGAGAGTGTCTCCGGTCAGGTGGTATGTGCTCAAGAGACCCCCCAATATACGGATGGTACTCTCAAAAAGATTCACATCCACATTCTTGGAAAAGGATAATTCTGTCTCAACCCACTTCCTGGCCTCCGCAAACTCTATTACAGAAAGAATTAGAGAGAGAGAGAGAGAGAGGGGGGAAAAGGCAAAAGGAGGGACATAAAGAAAAAATATGATTTTTCCATTATTATTTGAAGTTTTTATTGCTTAATATATATTTTTTCATGGGTGTTTCTTCAGATTTTGGAACTTTTGTCTCTGCGGACTTTCTCAAAACACACTCTCTAATTTAAATTGATCTACTAACAATGTCCAACAAAGGACAATTTAAATTTTTGTCATTTGCATATTGTAATTTGACAAAATTGCAGCTTGACTGGAACGCACAATACAATAATAAAAAAAAAAATATATGAAATTTTATGTTTACCTAGATTTTTCTTTATTTCCTTCACATCTCATATTTCATCAAAAGAATACGCTTCACTGACACTATTTTTTTTTAGTAAATTTCACACAGTAAATAAAAAAAAAGATTTTTATGGATGGATTTTCCTATTCTAAGATTGCAAGACAATGCTAAAGTCATAAAATCTATACATAATAGCCATTTGAAAGATAGCAAATAAATAAATAAAAATAAATAAATTCAACTCAGTTTTAATGTGGCCGTTATATAACAAAAAGAAAAATGGTCACTTTTAATAAAAATCAACATCTGGGAAATGAAAGTGCCTGTGGCTGAAGACACACTCATTTTGACAATAGGAAAGAAAAAAAAAAGTATACATCTGAAATCTGAGCACAGCGGTCATGAAACAGACTCACCGTCTTTCAGTCCCAGGATCCACATGGTGTCCAGTGCATCAATGAGAGTTAGGCCCAGGCCAAACCACTCTCCATGGGTCTTAGATATGGGCTTCAGTTCATCATGACCCCACGCAAAGGCCTTATAGCCCTTCCATGCGTGCCTGAAGGCCTCCTGCACCGCCTCCACACGATCCACGGCCTTCACTGTGACTGTCACAGAAAGACATTCAGATGATCACATGTCTGTGATGGCTGATCTCTAGCACAAGCCAAACTTTGGCATGGACAAATGCCTCAAATTACGGGATGAATTCTGATACCTGGTTTTAAGTTGGCAGCTTCCTCGGCATCAGCCACGGTTCCTTCTTTTCCATGGGCGGTGGACTGAAGCTCCGTCCCCTGCTCCGCCTCGATCATCGCCCCGCGCCAGCTAGGAATCCAAAAACTGGCATCAGTTATGACAGCAGTTTATCTAAGATCCAACCCAGAGATTCAACACCTGTAATCGCACCGTTTCCTCCCACACGCCTCACGATTATAACCGCAATTACACTCGAGCGGGAGGTAGAGTCCTGTAACAGGACACAGCTGGAGGAAATGAAAGCTCATCACAACTCTGTGTTACCAGCTCTGCTGTTAATAAACTCTTCCTTAGGGCTCTAGCACTGCACAGGAGTCTTTATCTTCAGCTCCTGTTGTGTATTTCTCTGCTCTTTCTAAAAAGGAGAGTTCATCCTAAAATGAAAATTCTGTTATTATTTACTCACTCTCACATTTCTTTTTTTGTTTTTTTGTGGAACAAACAATGTGATATTTTTAGTACACTTTCTGTCATTGTATGTATGGAGCTCCAAGCAGTGAGACTAATAAGAATAAGTGTCAATAAAACTCATAATTACTGTCTGAGCTTTAATGCCTCTACTTATTCAAAAGGTTAAACACTAAGCCAACAGCAAATAAATGTCAAAGTCTAATCCTAGGCAAATCATCATTATCAAAACTCTCATATAAAATGGCCTAATTTCTTGAATGTAATAAGCCAAACCTAATGACTGTTTTTGCTTCTTTCCCTTCGTCTTCATCTCTCCTGACCATGGCTTCTTCTCCATCTCTCACCTGCCAGTCTGACACATTCCCTCGCTTCTGTAGGACTGGAGGACCACGCTTGCTAGGTGGCTTCCTCTGCAGATTCAAACCGCCCAACATAAAAAGACAAGAGTAGGTGAAGAATCTAGTATCTTATAAGAAGGTGAATTAATGTGCTTAGATCAGCATGGTTGTGGTTTAAATTAATAAAATATTAAAATATATAAATATTAAAATAATATTTGTTTCAGTTTATTTATTTTAACCCTTTTATTTTGAATTTAGATTATTCTTTATTATTATTATTATTATTATTATTAATAATATTAATTCATTGATTTATTTATATTTATTTTGTATTTACAAATAATCCTAATTTTTGTATCTTTTTAAATGACTTAATATTATATATTTTCATTGTTATTATTGATATTATTTTATTCTGAATTATAAATAATATTTATTTATTTTAATTTAATTATTGTTTTAAATTTAGAAACAATCACATTTTTTAAATATTGTTAAAACTTATTTATTTAGAATTTAGAAATACTAGCAAATTTTTGTATATTTTTTATTATTTTCTTTATTACTATTAATATTAATTAATGAATTAAATGATTTATAATGCTTTAATTTTGTATTTAGAAATAATTGTACCTTTTTGTATCTTTTTAAATGATTTAATATTAATATAAAATTATTTTTAAAGCTTTTATTTGGAATTTAGAAGCAGCTGTAATTTTTGTATCATTTTAATTTATTAATATAATAATACTAAATAAGCTGGTCTTTTCAGCAGGAGCTGTAAAAAAAACCTTTGCAAATGAGTAGAGAAATGATAAAGTGAACAATATACTATTTTGCAGATCCTTAATATCTGAGAAGTATTCCAACTAGGGTTGCAAAGGGGTGGAAAATTTCCGGTAAATTTCCAGAAACTTTCCAAAAATCCCTAGAATATGCCAAAAACAATCCTGGAAAGTTTCCAAAATTTCTGGAATTTTTCCCAAATTTACTGGAAATTTTCCACCTTTTTGCAACCCTAATTCCTACTAACCATAGCTGGAGGTTTGGGAAGTAATGGAATGCTTGGTCTTTGAATCTCTGGCATCACTTCTGGCGGGATGTCCTGGACCCCCAGGACAACTCCTGGCAGGATCTTTGGGATGAGGCCAGGAGGAATGGGCCTGAGACCTCGGTTATCCATTTCAACCCAGTCCTCCTTCAATGATCTATCAGAGAGTCCTGGAGAATGAACAGACAGAAATACATAATATGTGAATTATTAATAGCAAACGGCGTGATGTTTAATAAAACTTCTTCCCCAGAAGCTAATATAAACGGGCAGAGGTTGTACCAATCATCCAACTTTTGTGTTTTCACCTTTCATATCCAGTGAAATGTCATTAAAGGTGGATGTATGAAATACCTCTCCATTGCTCCGTCAGGCTGGGATAGGAAAGAATCCCACAGATGAACAGGAAGGCCAGCAGGAAAAGAATCAGACTGCGCTGAAGCCGAGACAGCTGCTTCCATTTCTGCCAAAACAAACACAAACAATTCAAGGACAATTGGAGGAAAGTGCAGCAATTTTATATTTGATGGCTTGATGTGGCAATTGCAATGACTGCCAAATATAGTACTAAAAAATACAGCTACATGGAAACAAAAATATGATTTATCCCTCAAGTTTTCTCTCAGTACAGACCTCTTTATAATTTAATCAACCTAACTAATTCATTCGACGTGAATCTCAGATAATGGAAGACATTAAAGGGACAGTTCACTCAAAAATTCATTAATTTCCTCGCCGGCATATTGTTTAAACCTGCATAATTTTCTTTCTTCTGTGAACAAAAAATTCAATACAATACCTTTCAAAAGTTTGGGGTAAGTTGACTTTTTAAAGGGGTCATATGATGCGATTTCAATTTTTCCTTTCTCTTTGAAGTGTTACAAGCTCTTGGTGCATAAAGAAGATCTGTAAAGTTGCAAAGACTAAAGTCTCAAATCCAAAGAGATATTCTTTATAAAAGTTCAGAGTCAGCCACGCCTACCTAAAACGGCTCGTTCTAACACGCCCCCACATATCTACCTCACTATGTGGGAAGATTTGCATAACGCCGCCCAAATGTTCACGCAAAGAAAGAAGGCGTAACTTTTAGTCTCACTGTAGTTTTGTTGACGCTGCAGCCATGTCGTGAAGACGCTGTGTGCTTCGTTGTGAAAGCGAAACTACTTTGTTTGGTCTTCCAAAAGAGGACGATATCCGCTTCGTCATGCCTAGAGCTGATCTGTGCTGGTCGCTGAGGGAATACATCAACTTTCACCGTGGACGAAGCGGAATCCAGCCCGGGGTCCGTCACATGTGGTTGCCGCTCAGTCGTCGGATCCGCCGGGCGCGCCATTCTCAGCTCACTCTAGAAATCGACGCGTTTCAAAAAGGCGGGGCATAGAGGAGAAACAATAATGTACAGTATGTGGAAAATAATGTGTTTTTTTTTTACTTTAAACCGCATAAACACATTTCATTAACCAATACACAAAATAATGTTCTTTCTAGCAGCATCATATGACCCCTTTAATGTTTTTTTAAAAGAAGTCTCTTAAGCTCACCAAGACTGCATTTATTTGATCAAACAGTAAAAACAGTAATATTGTGAAATATTACAAGTTAAAAGAACCGTTGTATTTTAAAATGCAATTTATGATATCAAATCTAAATTTTCAGTTGACATTACTTCACTTTTGAGTGTCACATGATTCTTTAGAAATCATTTTAATATGCTGATTTGATGCTAAAGCAACATTTCATATTAATATCAATGTTGCCCATAGCTTTGTGTGAGGAATAGACTAAATGAATCTTTAACAATTTGAGTTCTCAAATTTTTTTTTGTTGTTTAAATGACACGATCACATTGAACTGGTGTTGCATGAACAAGATCCTCCTTCTGGGTTCCCAAGAAAAAAAATAACAGTATGTGGTTTAGACAGACGTGACGGTGATTAAAAAATACTGTAACAGAGTTTTAATTTTTTGGTGAATGGTTCCTTAAAGCTAAGTGTTTAAATTAAAAGTACATTTTTCAAGCTAAACGTACGTGTTTCGGCTAAGCAGGGAGTGCGCATCTGCTTTTTGGAGATAATTGAGTATATACAAATTAGTAGATTAAATAAAAGAGGGAATGTGGTTTCCTAAGACTGAACACGACAACTACAGTGCCAGCATTTTGTTCCCAGAATATTAAACAGATGTCAAGACATCTCGCAGACAGGAAAATGGCACTCATTTACACAAACAAATAAAGAGGCAGAAGCCATCAGCCTTCAAACATCACCGGTAATGAATGAAAAATACATAATGCTTCATATTTTTGTCCTGCAAAACCAAGTAAAGAGTTTAGATGCCATTTTAAGAAGAAAATACCCAGGCACTAACCCTCCAGCAGGACTGTCTCCGGTGCTTGCCGTTGGTGTAGCTGCGGCTGTGTTGGTCTCCCAGCATCAGAGAGACGAAGTCCTTCCTCTGTGGCGAATACATCTCTAACACAGCCACCACTCAAAAACACTGACTCAAATAGGTGAGAGAGGGACACAGATACCAAGTGATTTTCCCACAAATCACTATTCGGAAAATGAGCTGGTCTGTTGCTCCAGCGACACTGATCTTTGCAGGTCTCTGAGGAGAATCGAGGTGTAAAATACAGATCTGTTCACAAGATTAATTACCACCAGACTAAATCTGGAGTAAATTGAGGCAGGGGGTGGCACACTGGCATCCATCTGATCTGAGAACAACAGCATGGGACAGGGCCGTTCACCTTGTTGTCCCAGGGGCCATGGGAGCCATGTAAGAGGGGATTAGGAACATTAGCCTAAGTCCATCTGGTTTCTATCATACCAACCTGAGCTTATTGGATGGAATAGATTTAAAGACACTGGCCTGTCAAGATGACACACATATGCTGCCTATACAGGAGAAGGTTGAACGCAGGTTGTCCCAAATGCAAATTACAAGTAAAATCATCTGAGTGTGTAACTTTAGTGTGCAATGAACTACAAGCTCTGTTTTGAGACAAGGTTCCCACACTTTTAAACCATTTCCATGACCTTTCCTGTTGTTTTTTTATTACTGGATATGAATATTTCTTGTATATTCAATTAATATATAATCTTAATATATTCAAATTAAGACTGATTTACTAATGAATCACTCCGAATGATCTGTGAACCAGTCAACTGATTCACTAAAAAGAATCAACTCAAAAGAGCTTCCGAATTACACATTAGCTTACTATGGCTTTCCAGCAAGTTTTATACTACACAAGTCAATTTCTATTCAAAGAAAACTCTTAGAATACAACATTGTCAATCAATCAATCAATCAATCGAATCTCAAAATCTGATCTGATTCTGTGGGTCATGTTGAGTCAAATGACTGCTTTAAATTTCCACCCAACTATATTCCACTATTTTTAATTTTCTGAAACATCATTTACATTGACAGTGGTATTTTTTACCATTACTTTATCTTTTGAACCTTTGAACTTTAGCCTAAAATCATAGGTCAGTCATATTGACTGTCAGCCATTTTAACTTTAGTCATAAAATTTGGCAGCATGTTCTGAGGTAAGTAAAAAAAAAAGTTTGGGCCATATGCAATACCCATTGTTTTTTAAATACTGTAAATGTCTTGACAATATCGTTTCAATTTGGTGACAGCGCCCCTATTGGTTAAAATGTATAAGCTTTTGTATAGTAAATAATTCTACTTATGACTTCTAAATCTTTTTTTAATTATAATTCTCAGCAGGGACGGGTAGTCACTTTAGAAAATACTTGAATATGGTGCTGGACCAGTACTTGCTATTTTTATTTTACATTGGCCGATTTCTAATTGTACACAGCTATGCTGCAAATGCTTTGGCAATATAAATGTAACGTTTGTCAGACCAATAAAGCACAGTAAAATAAAAAGAAAGAGAACAATGCATTGATTCTATATTAACTGCTTAATCCATCTGCTCAGGTAAGGGAGTAAGTGGCCTCCAAACGCATCCTCGTTTTACCTTTCTCTGGACAACTTGCTGCTCCTGGTTAGGAGGAGGATCTATATGCATGAAGAGGAGGTCACAGCCCATGCATCCCATCCACTGTGCGAGTAGTGATAGTGTACACTCAGTGTGTAGGTGACAGCAGGAGTGGCTATCAGATCTCTATCTCTCCTCCATCACGCTGCTCTCCTACAAACCGCGTGTTCCTCCCACAAAACGCTCATTTAGGCTGATATACAGTCTATTCGTAATGTGTCAATCTGTCGAAAAATAAGCATGACCGCTGTTAATAGTCAAACAGCTGTGTGCAGGGAAATGTTTATGTGACAGCGCCTTACTGAATCACGTGATCCTCACGCACACGCGTCATTCGTTGGGGCTCCGCCCTCTTTTATTAACACGTTCATCACCTTACAACTGTTCTTACCTTACTAGGGCATCAAAAATGTCAGTAAACATAATTATAGTAATACTGATGATAGCGTGGTTTATCATCTTAATTTTTCTATATTCGTATAGTGCTTGGTTATTAATCAAGTTACAAAAACGTTACCACAAATAAACAGAGCTACATTTGGAAACTGAGAGCGTCCCTTGTAGAATTCTGTTATATACCACCAAATAAAAATGGTAATAATATATTATTATATTTTATAAATTAATAATTTGAATGCACTTAAATAAGAGTTGAATTGCCTTAAATACTGTAAAAACGTTTGTATAAATAATATATTGTAACCTATTCACACACCCATCATGGAGCCTATTTTATTGTATGTACATATACTATTATATATTAATATTATAGATTATGTATTTTAATACACTTAAACATAACAGTTATACTTAGGCCTAATAGATAAACATCAATAATATATTAGTGCTGTCAGACGTTTAATCGCAATTAAAATAAACGTTTTTCTTTGCATAATATATATGTGTGTGTTCTGTGTATATTTATTATGTATATATAAATACACACATACAGTATATATTTTGAAAATATATACATATATTATGTAAACAAAATGTTTTATTTTGGATGCGATTAATCACGATTAATCATTTGACAGCACTAATATATATATATATATATATGGCATAATAAAATAGTGTATATATGTAAAATAAATACAATACACATCACAGAATTCAGCTACATTTGTACATACAGGAGGCTTGAAATTAACTAAATTAATTTTGTTTAAAAATTTAAAAAAAATTATAATATAAAAAATTAGGAGATTGTGGTTGAGTGAAAAGAAAGAAACACTTTACTGACCTCCATTATCTTGGACTGATGACACTCCTCCCTCATGATGTTCATGCATGACAGAATGATGATACACTCAAAACTCTGGCACCTTGCATTCCCAATTACCAGATCTGAACAGTTGAAAACTTTTATGGCAGGTTCAGGCATGCAGTGTGCAGTAGATTTCCCACTTCGTCCCCTTCCACACAGACTACAGGACAGGAACGACTGCATTCAGAAAATAAATTCAGGCAAAGGGTAGCACTTCTATGGCCCATTGTCAGTGCTGGGCTAAATACTCAAAAAATGTAATATATTACTCATTACTAGTTACTCCTTTCAAAAGTAATATTATTACTTTACTTAATACTTTCTGACAACATTAATTATTTACACTACTAGATACATTACTTTTTTCACACCCCACAGAAGTTGTAATTTAATATCTTCCCCATAAAATTCTTCTGAAATGTTATTAACAATATATTTCTGCTTCATCATTCATTTCATTATTCATCACCACAAAATCCACACTGGATCGCAGTCAGATGTTATTACAAACACTCAGCGGTGATTAATAGTAATGTTTAAGTAAAAGTGTTGTATTAATCTCAATAATTGTAATGTGTAGCTTGTAGCTCTAATTTCTCTGTCACACATATGCAACTCCATGATGTATTTTATCAAAAGAAATCATGTAAGTTCATAAGAAAATGTTTCATTCTCTTAAAAGGTATCGGGATCAGAGTGATATGGGTTGGCAAGTCATGTAATGCCAGAGTAAAGTAATGCCACAACTTTCATAATGCCACAACTTACAAATCAGTGTTCAGATCATCTTTTCTCCCGACAAAATTAATGTAGGCCTATTGGCTATATGTCCATCCACTGAATGTAAGCTTTTTCATATTCCAAACTTGCCTGCTGCACTGGTGACTTCATGTGCCAGTGCAAGTTGTGAAAATTTTGAAAATAAAACTAGGAATTATTGGATTTTTGGACTTCAAATCAGTAGGGGTTGAGGCATTGAAAGTAACTAAGTAACTAGCTTTTTTTATGGATAGTAACTGTAATATTACTGAAATCATATTAGCAATTAGTTACACTACTAGTTACTGCAAAAAGTAATATTATTACTGTAACTAGTTACTAGTAACTGCCCAACACTGCCCATTGTGCAAAATTAATTTCTGGATACTAGCTGGGTTTCAGTTTTGCTCATTACCATGTTTGGCTGTTTGAACAGGAAAAACACAGCTTCACAAAGCATTTTTAAGAAACGTTCGTGTTTCACACAATTGTCCAACACAATTTAAATGATACATTAATGAACGTTTTATAGCTGATACTCAAACAGATGACCAGCATGTGATTTCTGATGTCACCACAAATACATAGAAAACACAATATACATTACAAAATGTTATTGAACAAAACGTTTTTCAAAACAAAGCACCTGTGCCTAAGTTCTATGTGATTTAAAAAGTTTTTAATGATAACTGCTTTAAAACAATGATGAGCAACACTTACATTTGGCTCAACATATTCTATGAATTAACCTATTTCCAATATCATTTGTGTATTTTCTTACATTTATGTCATATTTGTAAGTGCTCCCTGAGACCTACATACAGTAAATGTGAACTGAAGGACACTGTCTCTATGACTTTATGCATGTGTACTGAATTTCAGTCTCATATCATTATTAGATCACTGCTTGCACATTTATTAACCAGTTTTGCTGCAGTTTGTATTACTCTTCTCTTTTTTTTAAACAACTCTTACTGCTGTATTGTAAATATTAGCACCCATAAATCGTCTAACATACAAATTTAATACCATTTCTGAAATCAAATCATGACATGAACAGAGAAAACAAAGGTAGCACAGACTTCCTGATATCCAAACCTCATGGGACGGTTAGCGGTGTCCTCACTGGGACGCTTTGTTTGTATCAGTCCTACAATTCAAGTTAGACACTTAAACGAGAGGGGAAAAAGTGTCATTCATGCACTCGCCTAATAATGCAAAGTTCTATAATAATAACTGGTTAATCCATGGTAACCGTTTGTACATGATTAAGTAGTAAACAGCTGAAACTTGGACCATGCAACCACATAGTGGTCACGTCAAAACCCTGTCATTACACTTGATTAGGGTTGCAAAAAGGTGGAAAATTTCGGAAATATTCCAGAAATTTTGTAAACTTTCCAGGATTTTTTTGGAATATTCCAGGGATTTTTGGAAAGTTTCCGGAAATTTACAGGAAATTTTCCACCCCTTTGCAACCATACACTTGATACGATCCAAGCTTCATCTACAATGTTATTACAAGACCAGCTAGTGATTAACAAACATTGCTGAAACAAAAAAAATTATTATAAAAATAGTACATCAATTACAAAGCCAAAAGTCCCTGTAAACAAAAAAAAGGATATTGTCCGTTTGTCTGGCAGCACCGGGATAGACAGGACACTGTCTAGAGTATTTCCTTTACCACGAGCCGTAGATGCCACATGTGTCTTCAGAGTGTCCTGTTATCTTCTCTTTGTTACTTGTATTTAAGGTTAAATGCACAGGATGTAGCGTTATCATTCAGGGTGTCTCTAGCGGAAACACACAGGGCCGATTGTGAAGCCAAGCTCGTAGCTGCTGTTGCCCAAGATTCCTATGTCACGTAGAGGAAGCAGGTCCATGTCCTCAAACTGAAACACAGACTCGCGCGGTCCGGGATCCACTTCCTTTGCAGACTGGTACAACAAACACAAACATAAACGGTTGTTAAAGGTAAAGCACAATTGTTTGAAACCTTGATAAGAAATGTTTTTGAGCAGTAAATTCAGCTTTGCCATGATCCCAGGAATGAAATTTAAAATATTTGATAAATTTATTTATCAAAATAAATTGGTTCACCACAGCAATGAATGAACCGTATACAAACGATTCCCCTTCAAAAATGTGATAAAAATAACACATTTTATTACTAGTGCTGTTAGAATCCACATACCACACAATCCTGCAGTTCTCCTAAATAGCTCTGCTTCACGGAGTCTGTGAGGAACTGGACTTGTCGCTGTGTCTGGCCCAGTCGGTGTCCAGGGTAACAGGAGTACGTTACTCTCTGTTCTGCTCTGTTGCTCTGGAGTCGTAGGAGCCGCAGCTGAACTACACTGAGGGCTGGATACTCAAACTGATCAAAGACAGACAGAAGGGTTTTGATGGTAAAATTGAAGGACACATTTTACTGTGTACAACAACAGGGATTAAAACTGAACATCAAACAATGAAGAGCAAGAATTTTATAGGTAATAAGAGCAACATTATTAGCGGCTATTAACCTGGACAATAAATTAATGATGTTAAAGCATTAAAGGGACAGTTCAGCAAAATCTAAAAATTCTGTCATCACTTAGTCAGCCTTGTTTCACTCAAAACATATCTATCTATCTATCTATCTATCTACCTACCTACCTACCTACCTACCTATGTTTAGGCCAATTTCAGGCTTTATTTTCCATATAACAAAAATAGATAGTATATGGGACTGTTAAGGTCCAAAAAACATAAAAAGGTATCATGAAAGTAAATTCTCAACTTCTAAAGTGTATACACCAGTCTCTAAGCCTACAAGTCCTGTGAATTTTTATTTTAAGTCAACTATCCTACAGACAGCCCCTGTCAATAGCACAATAGCACAAACTTTGATCCAACAGGAAGTAAAAATTGCTCAACAGTACTACTTACTTGAAAACCTCCCTCCAGTGAACTGAACCAGTAGAACTTGCTGTTATTCCCTGAGTCATTCAGCCAAGTCCTTATGGGAAGCTGTGGAAATTGGAAGAGCGATGATAAGATTTTGATGTTCTTTGACATTAAAGAGACACAGTAGCGAGGTTATAAGTAGGATATTACCTGTACATCTCTGGGGTGAAGGCAGGTCTCTGCTCCTGACTCTGAAAAGTTACAGTAGGCCAAAAGAGCATCTAAAGGACTGCCTTGGTTTGGGTCAATGTAATAGAATCCTGCAAAAGTTACAAAAGTAATTATTTAACAGATTATTTTTTCCAAAACAACATACAGTTCAAATACATTTAATAGTGCGCATGCACACACACACACACACACACACACACACACACACACACACACACACTTAGTTATTTTAGTCAAGCAGCTGTATTAACTAACTTTCGAAAGTACAAAAAGAAATTGGATCTCATTTACACCTTATTGCTGCCCACCTTAGATTTTATCGCTTGAGACAGATCTTAATACCATGTGAAAATGGGGTCAATGTAACTGAGCGTGCTTTAGAGAAAACGTATGCGTATGTGTCTTAGAGAAAAAAATGCAACTGTAATGGAAAGATTTCTCAAAGATAGCACAAAGACAAAGAGGAACAAGAACAAAAAGATATGTCTTTGATAGCTGGAAAAGATGAAAGATAGGGCTCTGACCGCTGGTGTAGTTGGGATGGCACAGCCACAGCTCCAGACAGGTGGAGGCTGGGTGCTGCTTGCTACCGTCCGGAGGGTCCACCAGCAGCCGGAGGTCATTGTACAGAGAGTCCAGCAGTGTCTGAATCAGAGGGTAATTGGGCTTGTCTGAACTGTACATCAGATCCTGTTGGAAAAGAAAAAGTAAGACAAATTGATTTGCTTTTTTGTGATCTGCATTTTAGTGAGGGTTCAAGAATAAGAGAGTTAGATTTTGTGATGTTCTGCCACTACAGTTTTTCTGATGTGCTAAATAGCACATATTTTAGTTCTGCCATGATATCAATACACAAAAAGCTGACTCCTTCTTTCAAATTGTATTCATCATTTAGTTAAAAGTCTAAATCAGGAATATAAAAAGAGTACGAACAAAGACAGAAAAAAAAGTAAAATGGGGCCTGAGCACACAAAAATGTAATTTTATGTACACAGAAATGCACAAAAAGAAAATCTGATTTTTACAAATCCTAGGTGGATTTAGTTGACTACTCAGTATGAATAGTCTAATTTCAGTTCTTTTTCCATTGTTCAGAATGCAACTTGTATGCTACATAATGGAAAATGCACAGTAATATGTCCAGCTGTGTCTGAATATACACATTTTTGTGCACTTTTACCCCAAACAGTGAACTATGTGACATTTGCTAGTGTGTGAATTTTGACCATAATCACGTGATGTTTGCTATTAAATGATCAGCACAGCAAATCAGAGTAAAAGGGTCACTAAGATTTTAAACAACTTGCCTTGATCTGGGTCAGGTTCACAGAAACACCAGCAGGCCCTGGTGGCCCCGGTGGACCCTAAAATAAGAAAGTAAATTTATAAATAAACAACTTAGTTCTAAGCTCATATTGTTAAAAAAAAGGTGTCAACTTACTGGCAAGCCCTTCCTTCCAGGGGGTCCAGGAGGCCCCTGAAATCCCTTAAGTCCCTAGGATTAAAGTGAAAAAGAGATATTTAATAACTAATCTTAATTTATGTTAACCTGAATATAAAATTATTTTATGTATTTTTATTTTGATGAATATGCAACATTTCCTTTTAACCTGACTAAAGAAAGCTTTGGAAATTACATTTCATACCTTGTCTCCAAACAAGCCCTGCAAGGTGTAAGAGATAAAAGAGAAAGAAATTATAAATGATCTTCAGGCTCTTTCGAAGAAAAAAACAAACAAACAGGCTGTGGTTGCGATAAAGCACTTCACTGTCCTTGCTTTTGTCATTAAAAATGAATTAACCATGCTTTCATATCTTGAAAGGACAGAGCACATGTAAATGCATCTGCAGCAGATGTTTAATGCAAATTGGGCTACAGTTTATTAGGCACAGCTTGCTATTAGTTTAAATGCTGAAACATAAAAAAGAAACATTCACCGGTAGTCCAGGTATTCCAGGTGCCCCTCTAGGCCCAGCAGGACCAATATTTCCCTTAAGGAAAAGCACACACATTTAATGTTTAATAATTCAGAAGATGCTTTTAACTAGGGCTGCACGATAAATCGCATGCGATATTTAACGCGCATCTTATCAGTAAAGCCGGTTCTGTAATCAGCGGTAAATCTCCATCACGTGCGTGCTTTCACATTGAGCAGCATTAACTACACAGAGCCATGGTCACTGACGAGCTGCGCAAAAAATCGCGCGAATAAATCAGCGGTAAATCTCCATCACCTGCGTGCTTTCACATTGAGCAGCATTAACTACACAGAGCCGTTGCTCACTGACGAGCGGCGCAAAACCACGATCATATTCGCGCGATTTTTTGCGCAGCTCGTCAGTGACCATGGCTCTGTGTAGTTAATGCTGCTCAATGTGAAAGCACACACGTGATGGAGATTTACCGCTGATTACAGAACCGGCTTTACTGATAAGATGCGCGTTAAATATCGCATGCGATTTATCGTGCAGCCCTACTTTTAACCAAAGCAAGTGAAGGAAAAGAAGATTAATTGGGAGGATTTATCAATATTGACAGTGCTGCAATACTTAAGTACATCTGTCAATATAAAACATAAATATGGATGTTTGTATTGTATATTTATTATTATTATTATTATTATTATAAGCATTGTCTTGCAATATCTATGGTGAAGGCAAAAAGCTAAAGAATACATGCTTAATGAGATATTTTGACTTTACCTGATCCCCCTTTGGTCCTGGGGGTCCAGGAGGACCAATAGGCCCCATACTCCCCTAAAAATAACAAATTAATACTCTTATAAGAGAACTGAATAGGCTGCTGCACTGCAGATTCATTGAATGTGCTTGATATACATTATACCTTCAAGCCATCTTTCCCTGGTGGACCAAGTGGCCCCTGATCTCCTTTCTCACCCTGTTATGGACAAGTTAAAGTATTAATAGTAATCATGCATTTCTAAGGTATCTGCATTAAAAGAATCCTGTCTGAGTAAAACTTTAAAAGCACCTCTGCTCCTTTGACACCTTGCTCCCCAGGCTCTCTTCTCAGTCCGTGGATTCCCTGTCAAGCATAGAAAAAAGTTTTAGCAAATGCATGATTATGATTTCGAACTGTGTTAATGGTTCCCCATTTGATCAATTCCCACAATGTTTTTTAATTCAAAATATATGATAAGTGTATCAAGCTTACCATACTTCCTCCCCATCCAGGAAGTCCTTTCTCTCCTACATCCCCCCTCTCTCCCTATTGGACAAGGAGAAGCCAAAAAGGAAATCCATAATGTGCCCAATTGAAAATCAAGAATTAAACTCATGTATTTAATGCCATGTTGTCATTGTTGACATCATCTCTGAACTCTGACCTTTTCTCCTCTGGGTCCTCTGGTCCCCCTCAACCCTGCCTTGCCTCTTTTACCCTTTAGATGTAAAGCACCAAAAAAAAAAAATCAGTTTATCAATCATAATCACCACCATCTTCCAAACGTTTGCCCTGCATTATTACATACATGACGTCAGAGTCTAAAATAACCTAAGTACATTCATGACACAATAATGTCGCTAAACTTCTTTGCCTTAACTTAGAGATTTGGAAACATTTAATAGTCTAAGAGGGTACTAAAAGGGCATATCGCATCTTACCCTCCGTCCAATGTGACCCATTTTTCCAGGTGTTCCATCTTTGCCTTGATCTCCCTAAAATGCATCAAGAAGCAAATTCAAATTTAAAATGAAATTGCAGATAAGCGTTCTGGAAAATCTGTATTCTCAAACACTGTTCTCCTATCTGACAGCAAGGACAAAAGCAAAGAGGAAGAACTTTTATTTTAGATAGCAGACAGGGATTAAGACATAGAAAAGAACATTGTGACCTTACCTTCTCTCCTTTCATGCCTTCTCTTCCTTCAGGTCCTGGGTTACCCATCCGGCCCTACAACAATCAAAACTCATTAAGGGCCTTGATGATTCAGCAGAGTTAAAACAAAGGCAGAATTAAATCTATTTGTTGTCTCTTTGCTGTAAATATTTTATCTCACTGGGCACTGACCTGAGCTCCTGGCAGACCTGGTGAGCCACGTACCCCTGCCTCACCTTGTGGACCCTAACAGAGTTTCGAATTGATATAATTGAGTTAATCAATCACATGTACTGTATTTATATACACAGCCCAAAACGCCACACCATCTCGTTAAACAAATGCAATATTCTGTTTTAATGGTCTGTACCTCCAAACCAGGCAGTCCCGGTGGTCCTTGAATGCCTTGAAGGCCGTCTGGCCCCTAAAGAGAAGAAATGGCTTCATTATGAACATGTAGTGGATTTACAGGCAATTTAAAGAAGCAATCATGAGTTTCCATCTTAGTGGAGTTCATTACAAACTCACCTCCACCCCTGGTTCTCCTTTATCTCCTGAGTCTCCTTTCTCCCCTTCAGGCCCTGGGAGACCTTTAGGGCCCAAAAGACCTTGGGGACCTACTGAACCAACACCTCCCTGTAGGCCGAGATATGAATATTAATGAGTTACTCTTGAGATAAAAATTAATATGTTGTTTCCCCAAGAGAGTATCTGGGGGAGGAATATAAATGCAAAGAAATGATCTTTACCTGTGTCCCGGCTTTTCCTGCGTCACCTTGCATGCCTTTGGGACCTACAATTCCCTGAAGCACAGATATAAGTAATAAATCAGCAATTCTTTTGACATCCAAAGAATTTCAATCCAATGTAAAAAAGATGTTACATGTTATGCACATATACAGTAATATGTTTTCAAGTTGATCAGAACCTCAGGTCCAGCATCTCCTGGCTCACCAAGTAAACCATTCAGCCCAACCTCTCCCTAAAAAATAAGCCTAATTTTAGACCATAAAAATAAATAAAATAATCCAAAGATGCTCTAAGTGAAGAATCAAACATGCTACCTTGCTTCCTGGAGGTCCATCTGGCCCCACCAATCCTGGATGGCCGGGTCCACCCTGAAAGAAAACAGGAACTGTTTATTAGTAACGTCAACTATGTGGCCATATCACACATGAATATAGGAGTCACTCATTCTCAGGTCAACACTCACCTCTACACCTTTTAGGCCAGGAGGTCCAACACCACCCATGAGGCCTGACTCACCCTAACATAAAAACAGCCAATGTTCACACACAATTACAACCAAATTGACACAAACAACCATATATTTTAGTGTTTAAATTTGGAAAAATACCTACACTACCATTGTACCAAAGTTCGGGTTTTTTCTCTTATGCTCTTAAGTTTCTTGCTCACCAAGGCTTCATTTATTTGATCAAATATACAGCAAAACAGTAATATTCTGAAATATTACTACAATTTGAAATGACTTCAATGAATGTTTTCTATTTTAAAATTTAATTTATTCCTGTCATGGCAAAGCTGAATTTTGAGCATTTGTATTTTCTATTTTAATATGTTTTAAAATGTAATTTATTCCTGCAAAGGCAATGCTGAATGATCACATGATTGTTCAGAAATCAAGAAATCACCATCAATATTGAAAACAGTTGTGCAGCTTTATATTTTTGTGAAAACCGTAGTACATTTTATCAGGATTCATTGACAAATAGCATTTATTTAAAATAAAAACTTTTGCAACATGTCTTTACTGTCACTTTTGATAAACTTAACGCATCCTTACAGAATAGAAGTAAGTCAGACCTTTGAATGGTAGTATATCAAATGGTAAAAAAACATGTCAGGCTAAATAAAATGTTACGTAAACATAATGTGAAATGCTGATTTGCACTTACCTGGAGTCCAAGTTGGCCCTTGTCTGCCTTGAGCCCCCTCGCTCCCTGCTCCCCCACGTCTCCCCACGGCCCCTCTAAACCAGTAAATCCTTGTGGGCCAATATCACCCTGAGGAAAACAATGAAATATAGTACAACAGCATTTTCCCTTGTGAACTGACACTAGCTATAAAAGATAAATGACCTTCTCTCCTTTAGGGCCAGGATCACCAGCAATGCCAACTGGACCAGCATCACCCTTCAACGGGAGAAAACTCAAATATTACTCTTACAGGGACAGTGAGCCTGATTGTATTTGAGACAGATGACTTTAGGGTTAAATTGCACAGTTGTGCCAACATTAAGAGATTGATCTCTACACCTCACTGCCTGCTGGGCCTGGTGGACCCATTGGACCTTCAGCACCTGGAGGGCCAATGTCTCCTTTTGGTCCTTGAAGACCAGGCTTTCCAAAGGGACCTCTGTCCCCCTGCCAGTACATTGAATTAATAAAAAAATGTTAAAAGGCAAAAAATCCTTTATAAATGTTACTGTGTCAAGGAAATATAATTTTATAATTATTTCTCCATACCTTATCACCTTTTCTTCCAGAAAGCCCCTCCAAACCTGCCGGACCAGATGTACCCTGCAGAGGTCAGAGAGCTTTCATCACATATCAGTTGCCACCAGTTTCTTAAAGCTATAACAATGTTGTATATCACAGTGATTTTATCCTCTTTTTTATTAAAATACTACATAACCATAAAATCTCTGTAATGCATGGCCTCTAACAAAGACATCTGAACAAAGACCAAATAGTTATGCAGCTCCATGCCAATCTAACCTGTGGCCCTTCCAGTCCGAGAGGCCCGTCATCACCAGGATGGCCCATCATTCCCTGTGCAATTATATACATTTTAGTGATTTCATAAGGAAGCACTCTTCCTCTCATACCCACGTTTCCTGGAAAACCCTTAAGAGAATACAAGAGAGTGGGCTGGCTATGTCAAAACATCAACCTTAAACATTATTCTCCTCATCCCGCTCCCTCTCTCTCTATAAGAGCCCTGTAGAGGGGTCACTTACATACATGCCAACAGGGCCCTGTGGTCCCACTGCTCCTGTCTTTCCAGGGAAACCCTGAGAGAAATAACCACACATGCCAAAACATCCTGAAAATCAGCAGCTCGATTCCATGAACTATATGAGAGCAAACAAACAAACAAAAAAATCAAAACATACCCTCTCTCCTGGTGGTCCTGGACTGCCCATAGGCCCCTCTCGTCCAGGTGGACCCTGTCAGTCGAATTTGAATTGTCAGTGGCAAATCCTTTAAATATGAAAACGTACTTACAGGCTGTGAGTCAGCATTATTTGTCAGCATCATAGACTGTATAGGGTCAGCATGCATGCCGAAGGGGAAACAGGGGAACTGAATTCACAGGAATACCGGCATTGTAGGCTACTCTCCCAGGAAACCTCGTCCTCCGTAAAATGCGTTGCAAACATCTGAATATTTGGTTTGAACTGCTCTGGAACAGTGTTGTAAATACAACTTAACCACTGATTTCTAGTTGTGTCCTCTTTTGGAAGACCAAACAAAGTAGTTTCGCTTTCACAACGAAACACACAGCCTCTCCACGACATGGCGGCGACGGCAACAGCGAGAAT